GCGTCTCTGCCACGCAGCAGGGCTAAATGGGCACTATTTAGGCAAGAACTTAAGGAGTTTATCGAGTGTTCGTACTAACAAACAGAATCACTGGAAACACATTCTGCATCCTTTACAGAGTAAATAATCCCAGAATGGATTCTCAATTGACCCATATTTCCCCTCTAGCATGTCTTCGGAAGCGGAGCCCTCTACTGGACGCTGGCAACACTGCACCAACGAAAGATTTCCCTTCTCAATGGATGTTATCAGTTAGTCTAAGGAACACTTTTAAAAATAAGAACCAATTAATGAACAATAAATTGTGAGTTGATAATTTTTTTTTTTAACATCCCTAACACAAACGTTAGGGATGCACCAATCTGATACCGGGATCGGATATCAATGATTTGATATCTGATATCAGATCCAATCCAGTGCACTTTACATTAAACTGTTATTTCTTTCTTTTTGCTCCATATTCATTTTGTAAATTTATATCTGTGTTATTTTGTTATGTTAGGATAATTATCACTGATGATGTGTGAGTTTATTACCCCTATTAATAATAGGGTTGACATAAACATTAACAATGTTTATGTCAAGGCTAAAGCCTTCACACATATGGCAGGATATATGGTTGATCCATTCAACAGTTGAAATTACCATTAAAGAGCGAGCAGCTTTATGCAACCAGGTTTAACAGCATTTACTAGCTGTGGCATCTTTAAACAAATAAATGTCTTTGTCCTCTGAATTTCTAGAATATTTATGCCACATCAAAGAGGATTTGATTTGGACTGATTTCCTTCACAATTTTGAAATATTGCTGTAAAAAGATTTGTGAAGAAAACCAGGTCCACACCACTTCAGAACTCAATTAATGTTTACTTAAAGGTATAGAGGACAATCTTTTATTTCTGGGTGGATCATCTAAATATTGTCAATCATTCATTCTGGTGATATGTTTACATTTAGCCGTCCTGTGTTCGTCCTGTTAGCTATATTTTTCTGCGCACTTTCAGGTGTTTGTGTGGTGACCTATGGTTCCAGACAGTCAATGAAGCTCACCTTTCTCACCGCGGTTCTTATGGCCGAGGGCCGTAAGAGAAAAAAACAGTGTCTACAAAGTGTATAAGAAAAGAAAGGCCTCAGAAGAGGTAAATATATCCCATAATGCTTTGCGCAGAGAGCTCTCCTCTCAAAGCATAATGGGATTTGCTGTCGCCAGGGGCTGTTGTACCCGACAGCAGCGACTAATAACAAAGATGGCGCAGGCACCGCGCGGTGGAGGAGGAGTTACGTGACCAACGCGGAGCAAAAAGCAGTGATCATCTGTCCGAACGGTCAGTTAACCGAGTTCGCTATAAAGTCCACTATATAGTCCCCGCTCTATATAGTGATTGAGGGATTTAGGGGAAACATTCAGACACAGTAGGCTTGTGTGATCTATGAGAACAGCAACTTTTAAACAGCTTGCACTAAGAGAAATTGTCTCATGCATGCTCTCACACGCGTTTGATGGGCGTTCCCTCTCGAGAGTGGGTACAGGGATGTGCATGTGCAGTTTTTTGTGTGGAGAGGGCAGGTCTTTAAAAAAATAAAAAAATAAAAATCACGAAAATCCTCCACTAAATCTTTAAACAAATTGAAAATTTCTGAAAAGACCTAAAGATAGGTGTCATTTTGCTGCCAATCCAAAGTGACAGTGTTTGAGATTATCAGGAAGGAAGATTGGGAGAAAATACACTACAACAGATTTGCAAGCCTTATGCAGGACTAAGACCTGAGGTTCTGATTTGCGTTTCAAAAAATAAAAAGCATGGGTGTGAATACTTAAAGAGCAAAACTATTGCAGGTTTTTTCTTGATGAGCAATTGAAAGTTTCCCTCAGGTTATAGGACCCACCCCTTAATCTGTGCAGACCTGCACAGAGACTACAGATTGGAGTTGGCCAGTGGTTAAATCTGAAATAATCCCACCTTTCCTTTATACTGTGCAATATATATACGGTCAAATGCATGCACAATGACAGAAACTAGAGTTAAAACCAGGTAATCTATAGTAATGGGTCCTGGTTTGATTTTGCAGTGATAAATAAGGAAAGCAGATGTGAACAGAACCAGCAGTGGAGTTTATCCCAGGTTAGCCGGAGGCTAAAGCTAACTCTTAACATATATCAACATTGTTGGCATACCACTTTTGTCATTTTCCTTCTTGCGGGCTTTCGCCCCCTCCTCGTTGTCCTCAGTCTCTGACCAGACGAAAGCCTGCTCCCGGCTGTCGAGGGCCTCGGCCATTTTTTCGGCCGCTGCTCGGTCTTCTGATGAGACGCATGTCGTTTTGTCTGCTGCTCCAGCACCGGATTCGACACTAACCTCCCCAGAATGGCTGGCAGCACCGCCGCCTTCACCGTTACTGCCAACATCCTCGGCTGCGGGCTCACCATCGGGGGAGCACCTGGTTTGGTCACCAGCCGCATCCTCCGTCTGGTTGGGGCTGCATCCTGACTCCGCCGCCACGGCCTCCTCCCCAGATGTTTCCACCTCCTCTGTGGGGTTTTTCTGTCGATTCGGAGACTTCGATGGGTCTACGGCGGCCATGTTTCACCCATGCACCCCCTTGTCCGACCGAAGCACACAAGGATCATGAAGCCAGGAATTACATTTCCGGTCCGACCCTTCAAAATAAAACCACCGTTACTGACAAACAGACGTTCTTCATTATTTAAGAAAGCACGTTTGAAGCTTTAAATTACACATTTCCAGTTTACAAATGTTGTGATTTTGTTGTTCTACGCAGTACTCTTAAAACTTTATTATAAATAGACATAACTTTGCAACTTAAAGTGCAAGCATAAAACTACAGAAGATGATTAGGGCCAGTGAAAAAAGGTAACAGATTTTTTTTATTTTATGTCAGAACTCCGACTTTTTTCTCAGAATTCTGACTTTCATCTCAGATTTCTGACTTTAATCTCAGAATTCTCACTGTAATCTCAGAATTCTGACTTTAATCTCAGAATTAAACCACAGATTAAAATCATAATTCTGAGAAAAAAGGTAATAATTCTGAGATTAAAGATATAATTCTGATAAAAAAGTCATAATTCTGAAAAAAAGTCATAATTCTGAGATTAAAGTCATAATTCTGAGAAAAAGGTAATAATTCTGAGATTAAAGATATAATTCTGAGAAAAAAGTCATAATTCTGACATTAAAGTCAGAATTCTGAGATTAAAGTCATAATTCTGCGAAAAAAGTCATAATTCTAAGAAAAAAAGTCAAAATTCTGAAATTAAAGTCAGTATTCTGAGAAAAGAAAGTCATAATTCTGAGATTAAAGTCATAATTCTGAGAAGAAGTCATAATTCTGAGATTAAAATCAGAATTCTGAGATTTAAGTCAGAATTCTAAGATTAAGGTCAGAATTCTGAGGAAAAAGTCATCGTTCTGAGAAAAAAAGTCAGAATTTTGAGATTAAAGTCATGATTCTGAGATTAAAATCAGAATTCTAAGAAAAACTTCAGAATTCTGAGATAAAAGTCAGAATTGTGACTTTCTTCCCATATTAAACTGAAATATTATTTAAAAATCGGTTAACCTTTTTTATTTCTTCACTGTCTCGGATCCTCTTCCGTATAAAACAGGTCTATGGAGAGGAAGAAAAAAAACTATTACCGGTAATAGATATAAGCAGTGTATATAAATTAGTTTGAAGTTAAATTATATATCCCCAATGAATTGCTATGGTATAGTTTAACTAACAAGCAATTGTTTAATTATTGTTAAATAATTAAACAATAATTTAGAGTTTATCTAATAATTTAGAGTTTATCCAATAATATCCTTTGAATTGGAATTTCTATGGTGTAACAAATCAACAAGAGACACATGTGTTGGTTTTTTGCAGCCCATAGTTATATTTTATTAAGTTTAGTTACATTTCATTTGACAGTATCTATCTACAAAATATAACTTGTGCAAAACTACATAGATGATAGCCATATAATGCTTTCCTGGTACTATTTACAAACACATCCATGATACTGCATGCAAGATTATCAATAGCTGCTAGATACTAAGGAATGCTTCAAAAGTCCATCATAAACACAAGCTGATATCGGGATCAATTTGTAATGATTACACTTGTTCGTTTTTTTTTTAAATATATATATATATATATTCTTTTTTTAAAACTCTTTAAAATAGAACAATTTTGTCTCAAAATGCACTCAGAGCATTGCTTAATGTTCAACCAAAGCTTAAGTGAAATATAATGTCACTATTAAAACAGGACACGCATGTGGTGACTAGACATGGGCCGGTTACCAGTCTGCTCATTTGGTTTAAAGTAATAAACATAAAATAAAAACGCAAATGAAAATAAGATGGAAGAACAAGTAAGAGACTGTGATGCAGGGCTGCTTTTGGCACTGCAGCATCCGAGTACCCAGTACACCTGTTAGGAAATATCTTGTTTCCTATGAAAAATAAATAAGTACATATATTTAGATTTTGTTTAGAAAAAAAAAGACAATGCAATCAGATTTTTCTAATAAAAATAATCTGGGTTTAGATGACCCAGTTTGGGATGAAAGCCCCTTTGTGTGTCTTAAGCTGCAGCTCAGGGAGTTTAAAGGAAGATTTTTAAAGTTGTCCTCTTTAAAAGAAAGAGATTTGCTTTGTTCGACGATATTAATGGTCATAAAAAAGAAGACAAACAACCATCTTTTACTCTCCTTAAAGAACCTGCTATAAAACAAATTGAGACCTGATTATCATTCAAACATTTGCATTATGTCTCATTTTAAGTTTCCATGCTGATACTGTGAAACTTGTAAACATGGAATTTTGCTCAAAGAGAAACCTCATACCGGCCCATGCCTAGGGAGACCCAATCTCACAATAAGATCTGCCACAGATCCTTTTGTGATTTTTCTTTATTTTTTTTATTTCCCTTCCCTTTTTTCTAACCAGTGAGGGGACAGAACACGCCCCTGGTAAAAAAAAAAAAAAAAAAAAAAAAAAAAAAAAGCACAAGCATACATTAGAGGGTACTTAGAACAGCTGCAAAAGTACAATTTATGGAAACAAGTGCAAATCACAAGTACTTTATGATGATGTAGTTAGTCAGGAAAACTAAGACGGATTGAACCCAAAAGAATCAATGAGCTTTGCTGAGGAACATGCGCTCTGAGCATGAGAGGCTATGGTTCGCATTTTTCCCTCTCACTTTGCTTTTTTCAAAAGTCTTAGACCTGCTTTATCCACACGTTTGTGTGGAGCCACGGTTCTGTTAAGGCCACCCTATTATTTAGAGTCCACTTCACCAAACTGCTTCAGTCCTTTCAGAAAAAAAAAAAACACACCAAAGTACACTATGGAGTGAGATTTGAAACAGGATATAACTATTAGTTATTACAGAAGTACCGCAAGTAAAAAGAGCATCACATCTTCAAACATCAACAGTTTTTAAATACATTCTCAGCGCCGTCTCTTGCGCCTATGTTCCAGAGGTCTCCCCCTCCGTGGCCTGTGCAGATTTCCACTCCTGTCTACAGCTGGATCGGGGGGGAAAGTGTGGTGTATTTCTGGGGATGATGGTGACGAAGCCACCGCTACAGCTGGCAGGTTATTAGAGTGCTGGCTGACCTGCGGTTGCTGCTGTAGGTGCGTTGGATGTTGTTCTATGTGCTGTAGCTGCTGAGGCTGTAAGTGCTGCTGCTGCTGCTGAGGCGTTTGTGAGGGGTGTGCTGGTTGCACCCGATGCTGCTGGGGCTGGGGTTGCTGCTGGGCTTCCAGCACTCCCAGAAGCCTTTGCAAGAGGACATTGTTTTGCTGCAGACTGACTGCTAGTGCTTCTTGTGATGCGACAAGGGTTCTCATGTCCTGTCTGAAGCTTTCGCCAAACTCCTGCAGGCTCTTCTCCACCCGATCCCCCAGTTGAATCGCCGCCTCTCCCAAACCTCGGAGCTCATCTTCAAGCCAGGAGCTGCGAGGGGGGGCCTCAAGAGGACCCTGCTGTGTTCCAAGTGACGGCTGGGGGCTGCTGGGCTGGGGGCTTCCATTCAGGAAAGGAGCGCTGTAGAGAGGAGAAGGAGGCAGCCATCTTTCTGACGTGGGTGGGGGTCCTATTCCCAGACCCAGCCCCAATCCCAGTTTATCATCTATACTGTTTTCCACTGGGTCACAGTCAGGATCTCCCATGTCTTTCTCACGCTCAGGAATCTCCTCTTCTTTCTCCAAACCATCTCTCTCTGAGCCATCCATTCCTACACCTGCACAACGAGACCAAAAACTACTGCAAATTTTGCAAAAAAAAACGATAAACTGAGAAAGACAAACAGACATCTGTTTCTTACCCGGGTCAGAGTCTGGAAAGCAGGGGAAAATGGGCTTTGGTCTGATGCTTTGCTTCTGCCTCTGCTGTTGGAGCCTTGGACTGGACTGAGAGGAGCGCCCCAGCATCGAGGCCCCTCTGCTGGAGGGCAGGTAGCAGCTGCGATGGCGGGCGTCTGCAAGCCTGCCTCCGTTGCGCCTCTTTAGGTCGTCCCAGCGCTTCTTCACCTCTCGAAGGGTACGGGGTACTCTGGACACGGCGTTGACCCTCTCCAGGATCCCCGCCCAGATGCGCTCTCTCTCCCGCCTTCTGAGTCTTCCAGCGGGTCCAAAGAGCTCCCCTTCACACCGGGTGACTTCTGACACCAGAACCTCCAGCTCTGCCCCACTGAAACGACTCTTCCTTTTACCTGCTCCTCCAGCAGCCAGCGCAGCTGACATGGCTCTGTCTTTGGAGAAAAGGTAAACAAAAAATAAATAAAAGCTTGTGGAAGGGTGCCCGATTATTCTAAAGGCATTTCCATCAGACTAAAGAAAGAAAATAAAAACATTCGACTGGACTTTGTTTCCAACTTTAAAGACGTTTTGCTTCCCATCCAAGAAGCTTTTTTATTCAAATGTCAGGAATAGCACCCAGTTGGAGCTCTTCTGTGTTGGGCCACCCGTCTGTGGAGAGGTTGTTTGGTTTCTCCAATATAAAGATCATAGCATTCCTCACTGCATTACTGAAGAGCGACCTCCTAGGGACAAGACTCAGCTGTCCACCTACACCTTTTGGACAAAGGACATTCCTTTGACGACCAGAATGTTCACATTTTGAAAAAAGAAAATAAGTGGCTTGAGAGGGGCATGAAGAAAGCCATGTCTATGTTAAGAAAGAAAAACCAACCTTAAACAGAGGGGGTGGACTCAGATTTCAGCTTTCAAAGACCTACAATGCAGCAATTGAGTTGATTCCTTCCCACTATCATTGCAGCCCCAGCCCCTGGCCTGTACAGGAGAATGGAGGACCTCGCCTATTCAACGAGGCCAACAATTCCCTTTAACAACTCCCCCTTTCAGAGACTTAGATGGGTATGGACCATTGCAGTCTAACAAAAGAAGCCAAACGACCCCCCATCCAAAGGGGTGGACCCCTCCGTCCGTTTCAATTTGCATGTTTTCAAAACAAAATCAAGGCTTTGTTGGGCTACTGTATAAAACCTCGAACTAAACGCTATTTCTGACATTTGAATTGAAAAAGCTTCCTGGATGGGAAACGTCTTCAAACTGGGAAAGAAGTCCAGTGGATTGTTATAATTTTTCTTTTTTTGTAATGACTATGACCTGGATGACTGAGAATTTTCACCAGCATTTCTATCAGACATTAAAGAAACATGTGAACTTCTAAATAAAAAAAAATATTTTGTTATTCTTGGTCCTCCCAATTGTTATAGGACAAAGAAAGTTATATATATATTTTACTGAAGTTAATACCTGATGTAAACTGTATATAATAGCTTTATAAAAAGGCTGCTTGTATTTTAATGGTTAAGGAAGCTTATCTGGCTGATCAAACAACCCACATCTACCGGTAATCCCACCACAAAATAACAAATATAAAAATTAAGTTTGAGCTATAAGATTTTTTTTTAAGCACTAAACTGCATATGCAATAAATGGGAATGTTGCAGGGGACCTAGAAGATGTGCAAACCCGTTCAGATTTAAAGTAGTAAAATGTGTGTTTTAATGGGAGAGGCTGTAAAAGAAGATGAGGTTCTGCCATGGATATGCAGGTAATGATGGTAATGATTAGCAAAAAAAAAAAGAATGATCACAATAAAGATAATGATGAATATTATGTCCTTTACAATGATGTGAATCTCAATGTGCCACGAAAGATGAAAATAATGAAACCTTTTATTAAGAAGCACGGCTCAGGACACTTAAAACAATAAAAAATTGATAAACTTGGAAAAAGATAAATTCCCTCCTTTGGCTCCCATTGGACAAATATCATTCTTAAAGGAGCCACGGTCAGACTTAAAAGGTCTAAACAGCTGGATTTACTTCCTCTTATTTGAAATATTATAAATTAAGCGCAATCATTTAAAAAAAAAGCATATTGGTGATTCATAAAGAGCCTTGAAGGAACGTTAAGGAAGAAAAATAATCTCTCTTTACAGAAGATGGAGAAGCTGTTTTACTGGTTGCCAAAAATGTCAATACCACAAAAAGCATCAATACGCAGACGCTGTAGCCGGATACAATGCTAATATGGTATGAATGCTAAAGACAAGTGTTGTTTGCATATTTTTGTTATTAGCAATTTTAGATTTCTAAATTCTTTTTTCGTTATAATAATAATATTACATCTGACAACTTCCAAATGTTGTAAAACAGTTTTTGTTATATTTGTTTTTGCGCACACGTCAACTATGATCTGTGATTCTTCTGAGAATGCATGGTCAATTTTAAGATTGAAAAAGGTGAGTTTTCATGTTATTATAAATACTTCCCTGTGATGGTTGTTCTCACAAGGTTTAGTTAAATGCAGGAAATATTGTTAGTTTCTAATTGCATTCATTTGTGCAAGCCTGCACAGATATATTCTACTATCGTCCATATCATTATGTCCATATGTTCACAGAATGACTTTCCATCTTCTATCATCATACCAATTTCCTCCTTTTTGGCCTGAAGGATGCAGAATAGTTAATATGAAGTTTGCAGCTTACTTTAAGGCGTACTAAATATAGACACTAAAACTGTGTATGCAATAATTTTCAGGTTTGATAAATAACTTTTCAAGGAATAAGTTTTTACATCTGCATATCTACATCATGGTATTTTGCTTAGTTGGGATATGAAGATATGATCCACACATTCACAAAAAGAAAAGGTTTTTCCTGACTGTTCCCCTCATTTTACACAAGCAGTGTGATTTGCTCCTGGTTGGTAGGTCAGCTTCGTACTTGCTATTTAGTTAACATGTGTTTTTATTCATGTAAACAATTTAAAGATCCCCTAATCCTTTTTTAGCATCTTTATCACCTTAAATATTATAATTTGAACAATTTGGCCTTTTAGTCATAATTCCCTAGTCAGCCAATTCCAATACACCATCTTAAATTTAAGCTTTAAATAAATTGTTTTACTTAATCTTGTTGCTGTTATTAAAAATTCATGTGATTCATATAATGAAAAACTGTTCAGAGGAAAAACAGAATCATTCTTCCGATTGGTTGTGGTGAAATTGTATTCCAATCTGTTTTAGAACCGTAATATAATTTGTTGTAACCTAACATAAGCAAAGCTGAGTGATTTGTAGGTTAGTGTAGAAGCACCATTAGGATTCAAAGACCATTAGGATTCAAAGACATTCCTGCATTGTTCAGCTACATAAAATTTAATTGGAGTCAAAAAATCCACTTGCTTCTTGCACATATTTTTTGAAAGGAAAAAAAAAAAAAAAAAAAGCTCTACCTTAAATAAGATGAAGCGTTTTTTACCTCAATACCTATTTTCTTCAAAAACAAGGATTTCTGAATCGTGTAGAAGCAATTAACTACACCCTGCTTTATTGCACACAAAGGACAACATAGGAATGTAGGAGCAAATTAATTAATTAGAAGTCACCTAATTAACTAACAGTTTACCTTTGAGTAATTCAATGTTAGCGTAGACACAGTTTTCTTAGGTCATTATTGGATTTATCAGGGAAGCGTTAAGGAAGCTGAGATCCACAACTCAGGTGGGAGAACCTGTTGTCAGGACAACTAGTTACACACACCTCAAATCTGAACTTTCTAGGAAGGTATTTTCAAAAAAAAAGATTCACAAAGATTGACATTTGGAGTTCAACACATGCCATGTAGAGTTTGCAGCAAAAGTATGGAAGATTATTATGTCAAGTAGCAAATGAGTAACACCAAATATCCAGGTTAACATATCCCCCCGATGAAACATGATGATGGCGGCATCATGATGTTGGAAAGCTTGTTTTTTTTTTCAGTAGCAACAGGAAAGCTGCTCAGAGTTAAGGATGGTTTATACTTGGAAACTAGGTCGTCTGTGTAGGTGTCGCAGTGAACGCAGAGACGTCTCCGCCCCCTCCACAGACACTCTGCTGCACCTCTCCCAAATTATAGGTGACCGCAGACAGGAGGCCTCTGATTGGTCAAATCTACTCATGCGTATTTCCTGTTTGGTACCTTATTAGCTTGTTTTTTTTGTATGACCGCTAGAAGAGCGAGGTGCGCGAGAACGGTGCAACCCTCCCCCCCTATGTCCCTACGCTGTCGGACAAACACACCCCCACTTCGCCGCCTCGGCCATATCTACACCCACGGCTACTTCATGATTGTCCCCCTTGCGTTGTGGCGTGGAATAACAGAGTACAGACCACGCTTCAATATTGAGCATAAATCAGAAATGTCTGCGACACACTGCTGCGGGAGTATAACCAGCCCTTTACAAGGAAGATAAGTATGCAAGAGGAAAAAACAGACTCACAGGAAGGCCCACCTTTTAACACTGGTACAATGAGAACCAGAAAAGGCTACTACCAATAGGAATTAGCTGCTCTCAGCCAGCGGTCAAACCTCAATTCAATTCAGAATATATGGAAAGAGTTCAAAATTTATATTTTTCTATAGTTTTTTTTTTTTTTTTTCAGAAGCACTGCATACCAAAGTAATTCCACATTTTTAATTTTCTCTTTTAAGATGTCAGAGCCACAGGTGAAAGGCTCAAGGGCTCCAGATATGAACTACTTTAAAAGAAAGAAGCAATATCAGGACCCTTATGCTACATTCACACCTAATGCGCTTTGAGCAGCAAAAGCAGCACATTTACATGCAAAGTCAATGGCTAACGTGCATCAAGGCGCATCAAAAGGTCCTGCAGCGCATCTAGATCAACAGCAGCGCATCTTGACACATCTGAGCAGCTGAATCAGTGCCTCGTGAGCCTCTGATGCACGTGAAGCGTTTCAAAAGCAGCAGCTGCTGGAGATGGAAAAATTGAGCTTTCTGTGCTTGACGAGCCACATAAACCAATCAGAGAAGCTGATCTGGGAGCTGGCAGGGAGACAGACAGAGCACTGCTGTTGCAAAGCGCTTTGATCACTCACTGTAAACGGTTTATTAACGCCTAAATTAACTTAAAATGTTGAAACCTGCCTGCAAAATATGTTCACTTTTATTATTCTGGTGCCTGCAGTTTGTACCACATACCTGAAAAACACTAACATCTATTCCCAACCTCATCGAACAGTAGAGGAAAACCCCAAGAGGCGACACAGTTTGAGGCAGCTGTTGGGATTCACAGTGCCCCCGCCAGTATGTGGGGATCTGAGCGCCTCCAACAGCAAAATAACATTTTAAGGCAGGATAGTAATCTTGATGAACGGACTGCAAAGATGATGTTTTGAAGTGGACTTGCATATATTAAAACTACTTTTATATAGCAAAGCTGCTCTGCCATTGAACACAGGAGCCACACAAGCATCAGACGCATCTGTACACACTTTACTGGATGTGCCTCAGGAGCATCAAAGATGCTCTTGAGGCGTGTCTGAGCTTTATGTGTACAAGCATCAAAAATTAAGCAGCAGGCTCTTCTTTGCTGCTGAACTCGCCTGCGGTGTGAATGTAGGATTATAAATTTCAAGAAAATAGCATTAGATTTTCCATCCCAAATAGCCATCATTCTTACACACTTACTTTGTTCAATGGACAAGAGGTCGTCTGAGGACATGCCGGGCGCCATGATGTTGGGATGCACCACTACCACGTTGAAGGGAAGTCCTCCAGGTAAGGCGCTGGTCTGGTCACAGCTGTTCTCCGAGTCTTCATCCTCCCTGGGGAAGCCGTTCTCTGAGGCCGCCCCTCCAAAGGCTCCCTCCGGGGACTCCACTTTGATGTGCATGGGAGGTGATTGCTCGTACAGCAGCCCCCCCTCCTCGTAGTACTCAGTCATGGATCAGACCTGGTTTAGAGCAGAACTGCCTGGTGGGCCAATTCTGGTACTGGCAGCCCCCTCCCCATGAACTTCAGATCAAAGTTTCATATAAACCCTGCATTCTAACATGGCTGGGGTTGAACAGACACTCCAAAAGGATTTTCTTTTCTTCCTTTTAGGAAATACAATATGTTATTATCTTTAAATACTATTTTACACAGAATGCCATAAAAACTCTAAAGTCATAAAAGTAAAAATAAAATAAGCATTTTCTCTGATTATACGTTTCTAGACACCTTGATGTCTATCTCTGGCAGCTTGAATACATGTCAACTATTTTGATTTGCACTGCTGTGTTCCTAGAACCACATAGAGCATGGATAAAGGTGCTACAGAAAGCCCTTTATCTGCCTGACACCCAGCAGCATCCTCCAGGTGGAGACTCTCCTCCAGATCTGAAACACAAAACAAAACAACAACACTTACACCTGTGCTGAATGCTCACAACACCTCCGATTGCTTCCCGGAACGGCATTTCTCCTGTTCCGTGTCGCATCGCTGCGCATTTCTATCTGCACAACATCCGCAATGGTTGCGCATTCCGCATACATTAAGAGCTGATGTTGGAATGGAGCTAGCAGTTAGCCTGAGCTGCGGGTTAAAACGGTCGCTTCCTGCCGGCTGTCCGCTTCAAGATGAGCTAAAACGATTCAAGAGAGGACAATATAAGGCGTCCTACCTGAAAATGAGTCCACATGGGATGTAGAAGCAAACAACAACAAAGGAAAAGCTTCAGTTAGCAGCCGATACACAAACCCGGAGACAGTCGCTTAATGTATACGTCATCGGTAGGCGGCGCTCGGGAAGAGAAGCTACAGCCGACCTGCCCAAACATGACTGCTATGTCAAAGCTGCTTTAGAAAGTATTCAGGGAGAAGGAAAAGATAGAAAAGATCTACTATTAGAAATCCAGCACAGTCTATTTAGATTATATAGGGGTGGCATTGATATTTGGCTATGCTGGGTTCCAGCACATGAAGGTGTAAAAGGAAATGAAGAGGCAGATATAGTGGCAAAAATGGCTTTAAAGGGAACAATAACCATTACAATTAATTTTGGGAAAGGGGAAAGTAAATGACTTATCAAGAGTAAAGAAATGGAAAAATGGAAAAAGAGGTGGAATGAAAACAAGACAGGAAGAGGATTATATAAGGTAGCAAAATGAAATGAAATTAAATACAATCATTAATGAGAGAAACAGAAGGGAAGAAGAAATAATGATACCTATTTAAATGAAAATTTACATTTAATAGGGAGGGAAAATAATGATAAATGTGAGGGATGTAAAGAAAGAAGTAGAACATGTACCGGTACTGATGAGCTGTAAAACTTATTAACATGAAATTAAAAAGGATGGTTGGAAGGACAGGCCAAGAATGGAGTGTTAAAGGAATATTGGGAAATGAAGGGAATATAAAGGATGTTCACAGATTAAGGAAAGCATAATTTATTTATCCACAGAATAAAAAAATAGAATTTGATGTAAGGTAATGTCGCTACACAATCATGTACAGTAGGTGGCGGTATGCACCTTAAAGTTGCTTGCGGTCTGCCATAATAGAAAAGAAGAAGAAGGAGGAACGACTGCTATGTAACTTTTAGATAGAACATATAAAGTGACGAAAAGGACGTTTCTTTCTTTCTTTTTATTTATTTTTTTATAGCAATTTTAACATAACTGGCGTTTATCTTTTTAACACGCACAAAAAAGAACCAATGAAGTGGAAGAAAGATTTTTTTTCAATATATTTACATAAATCTGAAACGTTTTTCTTACATTTTTGTTCGCCTTCATTTACCATAATATTCCAAAAGAAAATAAATTAACTGCCTTCAGAATTTACATTGTTTGTATTTCTGTGGCCACAAAGGCTCCTTGGAGCAGATTCTCAAACCTTTTTGACTTCTTCACAAAATAATACTAGAATAGATTCATGACTTAAATTACTAATTGAATATTATAACTTATTAAACATCTTTAAACGATTTGTATAACAGTAACGAAGCCAGAATTAACAACCAACATTTTAAACGTATGCTTAATACAGACAGTGGTATTTGTAATTACTATTTTAATAGTATATTTTAATAACTGTGTATAGTTTATTAGATGATTAGTAAAAAAAAAAAATACACTCATATAATATGTTTCAAACCGCAATAAAGATCTTAAAAGAACGATGCATTTGAGTATTTTATTTTTTACACCACGACTTGGAATTATGGGTAATCTAGAGCGTAGGGGGGAATGGGGTGTTGTACTTCATATGGGGCCCACCCAGATAACGTTGCTTATGGGCCTATTGTTGCATCGTTACGCCATTGATCAGGACCCTGATTTTGGGGATGTGTTAGGTTTTCAGTAGGGATATTTAAAAGACAATGTCATCATCCAGCATCTTTCAGACTGATGTTCAGTCCATCACATCAAAAGGGAAAGAGCATTGCACGCCTGCTAAACAACCAAGATGAAGTCATTATAACAGGCCAGGGTCTGGTTTGATGGGAAGATGGATAGAGCCAAACAGAGAGCAGTGCTGAGAAAATACAGTAGAAAGCTTAAAAAAAAAAAAAAAAAAAAGAGTGGGACATAGGTTTGTGAAGGTAGATTTGTTTCTTTATCATTCAATCAAAAAATGTTTGCTTCAATCATAAAATATATATTTTCAATAAAAAAAGTCACTTCAATAAAAAAAAAACCTTTTCAATCAAAGAAAAAAAGTATTTGAATGCAAAAATATATTTGAGACAAAAAAAAAATACATTTGAACATTGCTTTTCTTTGATTGACAATTTTTTTTGATTGAAGTGACGATTTTTTTAATTGAAAATATATTTTTGGATTGAAGCAACCTTTTTTTTTGATTGAATGATAAAGAAACAAATCTACCTTCATAGTATGAGGTTCAGCTTAGCATTACTCCAGAGCAACAATAGACTGGCTTAGAGTAACTGAGACCGGATGTATATCCAATTGAGATTTGCATTATCAATTAAAAAAATATTGAGCAGTTTTGTGAAGAAAGAATTATAAATTCCCACCATATGTCTTAGATGTGTATTTGTAAAGTATTATACAAGATTATATAACATCATTTCCCTTTGGTATCAATATAAGCAACACATTGTGTCAGTCTATCCCATACAGTCCAACAGCTTGAGACCACAAAATGTGAAACAGCTAAAGAAGCATGGTACTTATAACTTTCACACCATTGCATTTCAAAGTCAAATATTGTACCATCTACTCCACTACATTTTCAGGAAGCTGCTAGTTACTTGTTACATTTGGCTCAGCTTAGATCAACATGCAAGATTGCAGCCATTAGGACTGAATTTGGACACCTCTGTTTTAGAGATGTGTACAACATTCCACAAATGTGACAAACTCAGGGCAGATATTTTCAGTTTAGGAATTTTAACAACCTGTGAGTTGTTGCCATGTGGATAAGTTATTCAATAGGGTGATTTCTTAAATTAGAGTTATGTTTCCTAATGGTAATAGATTCAACCTTTATCCTCTATTCCATAGTAAAAGTGTTAGGAGAATCAAGACACCTCTGTTTTTCTTTTGGGTTTGTTTTTAAATTAGAAATAATAATCACAATAGCTGTCCTTTTTGTGTCATTTTTTTAAATGAAGTTCTTTACAAGTAGTATAGTATTGGTAGCAGAGTGGTTGTATGCATCAGTACATTAGGTGGTTACAAAGTTCTTTAAAATTACTATGAAAATTACACAGAAATATACTGATATTAGAAAGGATAATTGGTATTTTTGAATACGTAAGTATCTTTAAATACATGTACAAGTGAGGATTTCAACACTTTTACTTGAGTAGATGTTTGACCGAGTAACTTTTACATGTAGTTGAGTAAGATTTGTCTATGATTATTAATACTTTTACTCAAGTACTACTGTTGAGTACGTCATCCACCACTGCTTATAACAGTCAGAAAGAAAGGCTAAAAAATAATAGAAATCACAAACTACAGTAAGTACATTAGTGGGAGGACAACTAAAGAAAAAGAATTAAAAACAAAATTAACACAAAAGTTCCTGCTTTTGCTGCTCAAAAAAGGTTCAATCTCTAAATGAATTCAAAGTATGATAACTANGAAAGCATATTTAACAACAAGGAAAAATTACAAACACAATAGAAGTATTTTTTTTTCCTTTCTCGATGTAATGTTTGACATTTCCTGTAAAGCACAAGAAAAAGACAGTTCATATGACTGCTTAGACTGTATCTGCAGGTTTTAAACCATCATTTTTAGTTTAAAATAAACCGGATATGTTCTGGCTAAAGGTGCTGGAAAATACAAATGTATAAATAAAAACAGATTTCCACATAAATGTATAAATGCAAGATTGTACTTTCTTTTTTATTTAAGCTTTTAATAAACTACCAAAAAAAGGCAAAAGATATACATAAAGAGATATGTAAAAATAAAAATATCTTTTAACTAGAAAGAAGAGGTATGCTGACTTCTAAGAAAAAAAGCAGGTTCCATTCAGACCGGCTGTGTTGGACATTCAGTGATAAGATAGATGCAGGGAAATATACCATATGGCTAGAGACTCCTTAATATATTCAGGCAATAGCTTTGAACACGCCAAATCCTTTCATTAATGTTCTTTAATTGAATAAAAGAAATTACACATGGGAGGTGATACATTCATCAAACAAATACAGTATCTTCAATTGACAGGAAATAAATCTAGATAATAAAATATATGTTATTTATTTCAGGCTGTTAAAGCTGTTATTCAGATTGTCTTAACAATACCATTTAAAATATTGAAAAACAGCATAAAAAGCTCATCAAATGCATCAACTACTTTTAAACTTTATCAAGCTCTAGTGTAACATATTATCATTCAAGTGCAAAACAAACCCACTTTGTTTTTTTATATAACCGATGCGAGGTTGTGGTGAATATTTTATAAACTACCATTATAAATCCTTTTATATTTTCTCATTTACCCCCCCCCCCAAACAACAAAACATAAATAAATAAATAAACTGGTGAAGTTAGAAAGGCTCAAATTACACAATTGTACATTAGTATAAGTCAGGAGGAGGACACAGAAACACTGCAATCAGAGTTGACTGTCTGATTTAATTCAACTGGATCTATTGGCCTCATTTCAAAATGGAAGTTTGGTTTCAACATGGGGAGGGAAAAAAAATTCAATAGCAACAATGAAACATGAATGTAGAAGCATGTGACAGTGGAGTGACTATGTTCAGATGGAATGAGAATATATATATGTTAATGTGAATGAAATCATACACTGCTCCAATACTTTATCATTCAGTTATGATCAAAATTACAATGCAACACTACAATGGCAATAACTTGTGCAATGTATAACATGCAATTACTATTTAAAACCCAGTGCAATTACTTGTTTCTCTAAATTTGACACCCAGTGCAATAACTATATGTAAATATAAACACCCATTAATGTAAATACCCATGTAAACAGCCTGTGCAATAACCCTGTATTATAATCCTGCTATAAAAAAAGCTATCAAACGTGGACATACTGTATATACTGTATATATATCCATGCACTTAATTCTTCCTTTGGAACCTTCTTCTCTTTTGATTATTTGTGCTTATGTAATGAGTAAATCAATCAATCAATCAATCAATCAATCAATCAATCAATCAATCAATCAATCAATCAATCAATCGTAACCTGAGGACGAAGATGGAATTCATTTTAAGCATTGTTGGGTAATGAAGCACAGGCAGCACCTAAAGCAACAAAATGACAAATTTTTCATAGAAAAAGACAAAATGTAGAATTTACATAAACAGAGAAGTAAATCTGTCCGGAAATCTTTAGGTCCACATGAAGAGCGATGTGTGTAAGAGATGTCTGAGAAAATCAAATCATTTGTAGATGTTGAGTGCTGCAGAATGTCTCTATGTATTAAAAAAATTCAGGTGATTTATCAGGGAGTCTTTTTTTCCAATAAAATCTGTAAATTTGAACATGTATAAATTTCAAAGCTGCTGTTACTCTTTATACATTTTTTAAATGTGTGTATTATACGCGGCTGCATTAGTTAGTCAGCTTAGAAACGGGTGATACGTGGAGTTCTGTGTTTGTTCTGTTCATTTTGACAGGATGCTTTTTCCCAGGTAAGATAATATTTAATCACTGAGAAGGTCACATGGAGAGCAAAAGACTGAGAGTCCCTCTGTATAAAAAGCCACGGCCTCTGCCCCAGCTTTGTGTCGATCCACTGGTTGTAACCATGAAGTGCTTCATTCTTCTGGCCCTTGTTGCCGCAGCTTGTAAGTATCTGAAAAGACATTTGCTGGTTCTTGAGAAATTTTGAGAAAGGTTTTAAAAGTCTTATACTTTGCTTTTCAGATGCTGCTCCTCTTGAGGATGATAAGATCGTTGGAGGCTATACGTGCACTAAGAACTCTGTGCGCTACATTGCTTCCCTGAACTCTGGCTACCACTTCTGTGGAGGCTCCCTGATCTCCAGCTACTGGGTGGTGTCTGCTGCTCACTGCTACAAGTCGTAAGTCAGCCATCTGTGAAAGAAGTCCAAAAGAGGTATCAAGTATGGGTTTTCATTTTATACCTGCTTACTTTTCCCTACAGTCGCATCAATGTGCGTCTTGGTGAGCACAACATTGCCATCAGCGAGGGAACAGAGCAGTTCATCGACTCCTCTAAGGTCATCCGTCACCCCAGCTACAACAGCTACAATCTGGACAATGACATCATGCTGATCAAGCTGAGCAAGCCCGCTGCCATGAACAGCTATGTGAGCACCGTGTCCCTTCCCTCCAGCTGCGCCGCTGCTGGAACCAGCTGTCTGATCTCTGGATGGGGAAACACCCTCAGCTCTGGAAGTCAGTAACACATCATCATTCACAGCGTTAGTTTAGAGTGGATATTCACAATCTTTTTGTTTCTGTGTCTAAGCCAACTACCCTGATACCCTGAGGTGCTTGAATGCCCCCATCCTGAGCGACACCAGCTGCAAGAACTCCTACCCCGGAGAGATCACCTCCAACATGTTCTGTGCTGGATTCCTGGAGGGAGGCAAGGACTCCTGCCAGGTAGGACAGGAAAAATACTGCATTTAGAGAAAAAAAATCAATCTTAGGAGGACTTTATCTCACACCCGCTTATCTTCTCTGTACTTCAGGGTGACTCTGGTGGCCCCGTGGTGTGCAACGGTCAGCTGCAGGGCATTGTGTCCTGGGGTTACGGCTGCGCCCAGAAGAACAACCCTGGAGTCTATACCAAGGTGTGCAGATACAACACCTGGATCCAGAACACCATGTCCTCCAACTAGATGGGAGATAAAGCCACCGAGACCTTTCATGGAGCTGAAGAATCTGTCATTGTGACAAATAAAGTGTTGAAATAATGTAATTGTTTGGTTTATTCCACTGGCTAAAGAGAAATTATTATTAATAGAATGAAACTCCTCTAAAATAGTATTGAATTAAATTAGAGAAGTGAAGGAGAAGACAATAAGACATGAACATGGATTAGTGGCAAGGATGAAAGAAAAAAGGGGAGTTATTTTTTTAAGGAAGACAAACTATGGAAGGCTTCTCTTGCATTTTAACAACATATAAAATGTGGCAAATGTGGAAAAACACCTATGGGGCTCCCATATATAACAGATCTCCTAGGGGCCCAGAGATCTCCCCCAGCCCACCACAACCACACTAACACACTCATGCAGAGGTGTGCCTTTTTTAACATCTCATTATCATAGCCAGTTATAAAACAAACATATGTAAAACAGGATAAAAACACACAAAAAAATAGCACTTGAAATGTACATTTTATGCAATAATTGTTTAACAATTAACATAAAGCAGATGACTCTGGAACATATTGCATCAACCTACAGTGTTTTCTTTTATGTATTGAGATAAAACAATAGAAAACATATAAACATACAATATATAGACATACATTTAATACTTGCATATCCCCTCAAATAGATAAATACATGAACAAATAAAGTATGTGATAGATCTGAAGAAATCTTTTAAGATGACAAACACTAAATGGTCAAATTTGAATTCTTTTTTTGCTGGATAAACAGACTTGCTTCTCAAAAAGCTCAACAGTTAGAAACATAAAAAAAAATAAAATAAATAAAATCTTTAAGATTAGCACCTGGAAAAATAAATACCAAATAAAGTTATTTCTATCATCGTTGGGAGTGACAGCTAATGCGTTTTCTATTGGTTTATTATGCAGTGTGGGCCCGTTATCTAAAGGCATGGCCGAAGAACCTCGATGTACTTTAAGGGGCAGGATGAAAGGCTCTGACTTATGTCTGTGTTTATTTGTTAAACATCAGTCCAAATGCGTCGGCCATCTTGGTGTATTTGAAAGATTTCCTGGGAATGGTTCCATCTGCGTATTACGAAATGCTAACAGGGAACCTCTATGACCCGTGGGCAGGGATAGTGTTACCTCGTTGGGCATCAGTAGATAGAGCCTCCTCCTGAAGCGGAGGAAAGTTTTTTGTTCAATTAGACTTTTATAGAGTAAACTGCGAAAATATTGCATAGGCATATATTACAGGTTATTAGTTAAGGTTATACACTTTGCTCGCTTGGATAAAAAGAGAGTAAAAAAATGACAAAAGGATTTAGAATACATCAACTCCTCTTGAAACTGGGATTTTATTTCATTATGGTTCAGAGCATTATTAAAAAATATCAAAATAAAAATACTTCAAACAATGCAGGATATGTTTCAGAGCAAAAAACTTTTCTCAGTTAAAAAATAGAAGATTTAAAGAATGCTCAGCAAGACCATAAAAAGACATATTTTTTTCTTGTCATCTGACATTAGGTCAAATCTGATCTGCCTTTGAATAAATAGTGAAAGCTTTACTGTGTTTTGGTGCAGGGTGTGTGTGTGTGTGTGCGTTTACCTTGAACCGAAGAGAAAACCCATGTGAGCAGAGGTCATATCAGGTCGTGTGGGTGTTTTTTTTTTTTTCAGTGACTGGTTCTCTTCAGTAAAATGCTTGATATTATGAGGAAAACAAGATCTTAAAATACATCCGTAACATCTCAAGACATCAACAAGGAAATTAAAGCTTCGGGACAAATGGCTTATTCACGATAACTCTGAGCAGCCATCTAAAAGACGATTTTACTGATTACTATGCATGTGCACCTAAACTTCTAAACATGAAGATTTCTTTAAAATAATTTCTAAATAAATTCTATTTCATTATTCTGGCATTAGAATAAAAATATATTGGATAATACAAACAACCTACATTCAGAAAACTGATGTCAAACAGTGAGAAAAAATATCTGTTTTTAACCGGGCATTTTAAGAAATTCTTAACTCTACAACTAAATTACATATTTTGGGTTTATATCGCCAGCAAATGTTGTTTTATATAGTTTCATGAAACCATGGTCAATAAAAGTAGAATGTAATACTTTTTTTTTTTACTATAACTACTAAATTATATTAAAATTGTCTGCATGGTTTTTTTCATACATTTTAAAGTCATTCGGAAAACTGGTCAGAAAAGAAATTTCCTGTTATCACATCGGCAAAATCCAGATGTCAATTCACCCAGGTTACTGTCCAAAACGATAAAAATAGGTGCCCTGTGTCCTTGGCCAGTGTGATGTTGGAGGGTTGGGTGGGTATATATAAAACAGCAGCGGAGATGAACCAGTACACAGGTGAAGGAAACGACCATGAAGTACTTTATTCTCTTGGCCCTTGTTGCTGCAGCTTGTAAGTTTCTGTAAAGGACTCATTTATTCCTTTTAACACTTTATCAAAGGTTTTTAAGAACATTTTGCTTTTCAGATGCTGCTCCTCTGGAGGATGACAAGATCGTTGGAGGCTATACGTGCACTAAGAACTCTGTGCGCTACATTGCTTCCCTGAACTCTGGCTACCACTTCTGTGGAGGCTCCCTGATCTCCAGCTACTGGGTGGTGTCTGCTGCTCACTGCTACAAGTCGTAAGTCAGCCATCTGTGAAAGAAGTACAAAAGAGGTATCAAGTATGGGTTTTCATTTTATACCTTCTTACTTTTCCCTACAGTCGCGTCAATGTGCGTCTTGGTGAGCACAACATTGCCATCAGCGAGGGAACAGAGCAGTTCATCGACTCCTCTAAGGTCATCCGTCACCCCAGCTACAACAGCAACACCCTGGACAATGACATCATGCTGATCAAGCTGAGCAAGCCCGCTGCCATGAACAGCTATGTGAGCACCGTGTCCCTTCCCTCCAGCTGCGCCGCTGCTGGAACCAGCTGTCTGATCTCTGGATGGGGAAACACCCTCAGCTCTGGAAGTCAGTAACACATCATCATTCACAGTGTTAGTTTAGAGTGGATATTCACAATCTTTTTGTTTCTGTGTCTAAGCCAACTACCCTGATACCCTGAGGTGCTTGAATGCCCCCATCCTGAGCGACACCAGCTGCAAGAACTCCTACCCCGGACAGATCACCTCCAACATGTTCTGTGCTGGATTCCTGGAGGGAGGCAAGGACTCCTGCCAGGTAGGACTCCAAAAACAACATTTGGGAGAACAAGTCTAAATGTTAGAAGCATGTTATATACTCATACTTTACCCATTCCCTCTGTACTTCAGGGTGACTCTGGTGGCCCCGTGGTGTGCAACGGTCAGCTGCAGGGCATTGTTTCCTGGGGTTACGGCTGCGCCCAGAAGAACAACCCTGGAGTCTATACCAAGGTGTGCAGATACAACACCTGGATCCAGAACACCATGTCCTCCAACTAAGCTGACACCTTTAGCCTTAAAGGTGCAGGAGGAAAACACAGAATGTGCAAATATTTCCTCACGAAGCAATAATGTGTAAACATTAGCGTGAACAGCAAATAATAAAAAATATCTCACTATATCTCAGTTTGTTTTCCTTGACTATTTGTGCTAGAAAATATATATGTAACGGTATATATATATATACAAATCCATCTAGTCATGCAGAGAGAGATTGACAATTATTTTGCCACAGGCATTCCAGTTTTTAATTCCACAAATAAAACAAATAAATAGTGGTTAGCTCTAGAAGCTTAATTCAGCTTTGGACAAAAATTTACTAGTTAAGCAGCTAAATTTGAAGGGAAGGATAATGTAAAGAGCATATGTGGGTTTTATTGATATGAATTTAAAGATAGAACAACAAGTGTGATTTTTTACCTACTATTCTTAAGGAAACTCCTAACCTTTAGTGACAGCAGGTTTGCTAGAATGGCTCAAACCATAACTTGACTGGTATCTAGTTAGAAATCTATGGGGATAATAAGACTGGAAAGCATAGATTGGAACTAAAGAAGAAAGATGTGAAGGAAGCTTGTGTGGATCAGAAATCATACCTGTAAGAAGAGCATAAAGAGTTTCTCCATGCAGAAGACATCTGGAAATGGTTATCAGAAAAATGCCTTTACACAAAATATTCCTATTTTTAGCATGTTCATCCCTGTGTCATCCAAATGTTATACCAATAACTTTGCTGTTGTGACTTTCCATTGAGAATTGGTANTGTGACTTTCCATTGAGAATTGGTATGATTTTCATTTCAGAAGAAATGAATTAGTCCAGCACTGTAAAAACAAAAAAATGCAGCTCCAATTAAAATGAATTTGAGCTGACCAGTTACTGAGTAATTGATCTACCTGCTACCCATAACCATAACGTATTTCCTATTTTACAAAAAGACCAAATATTAAGCACAAATTCTGCTGTTTCAAGTAATAATATAAAAATGAACATAAAAGGTACATTACAAAATAAAACATTTAGGTGGAATTAGCACTCGTTAAAATACTATTGGGTTACAAAACTTACTGTAGCATATCTGTAAAAAAACAACAGTATAATATATTTTAAATCAATGCAAATGCATCATAACCAATAAGGTCAATAGGCTAGTTCTCAGACGATAAATAAGACTCATGAAACAGCACAGACTAGAAGCTTGCAGTTGCGAGTGCCTTGTATTTATAGTGAGGAAAATTATATACTGTACATATTTACAACATCAGTGAAACATCCAAATGGCCATATAAAATCCGTAAAAGAGAAAAAACAAAACAATAAAGAGAAAAAAATAAAATTAATCAATTCCTCAATTAATGAAACCACATCCCTTCAGTCCATTCACCCCAAGCTGGGGTTGATTAAAGGTCCCAAGCAAATTCCTTTAAAAGTGCTTGGTGCAGTGCAGGTCATGGACTGACAAAAGTCAGAGCAGACTGGAAACAAAATTGTTTGTTGGCTGCAAGGAGCCTCCTACCAGCCTGGCAGGAGATCCAAAGTCTTCATGCACCCAAAGTGCAATCTTTCTTGGGCTCTAGGCCTGGACCTTCAGCTCACCATCAACACCTGGCCA